AGCAGACGGAAGGCTTCCCTCCTTGCCCCCAGTATGCTATTACATCTCATGTTACTGTTCCGTAGCATGACAAAAGCAGGTCTGCAGAGGAAATAAGGAAGGATTTTGTAGAGTCCATGTCTCCCCAGGGTTACATTTGTGAGAGATGGACAGGCTTTCCTGCAGACCTTCCTATTAACCAGGGTGAAGAAAAAGACAGAGGGAAAGAAAGGCTACAGAAGGGACAGATACAAGCTGGAGGGCAAGATGAATGCAGAGTGCTGCATGGCAGAGCAGTCAGAACCCACTGGAGACCAGGGATGGCATGCAGTAGTGCCCAAACAGGGAACGTGAACACAGAGAGAAATTCAAGTTGGCAATGTTTATAATCTCGTGTGCATTGGCAAGTTAGCAAAAAAAATGACAAGGTAAACAGAAACATAGAAGTTTATTGAATTATAATGTGGAGGTTTTACTTATTCCTCGGTTGGAAACAAACCTCAGGTTTGGCTGTGCTTGCCAATGTCCCTACATGCACACTCCAAGAATCTGAAAGAACAGTTGCTGCAAAGGAGGAGTCGGTGGCCACTTACCTTGTTTCTGAGGTTGACATCAGCATTTCTTTTTAGAAGATAGCTAACTATCCTGTTGTTTCCCCGTTTACATGCACAAATTAAGGGGGTATCTCCACCGAAGCTGTCCTGGATGTTCAGATAGTTGCTGTTGTGCTCCAAAAGGAGCTGAACTTCATTGAAATCGTTATTATAAGCTGCCTGACAAATGGGCTGAAGAGAGAAAATATTGATCAGCACACGGTTCACTAAGACATCCATACTTCCCATTCCGGCTTAACTACTTGCACATCCCAAGACACTGCCAAGCCCGTCTGGCAGAGGTTGTAGTTCCAGGTGACTTCCAGAAGATGGTGGTAAGAGATACTCCTGCAGCTGCCGTACAGCAGCTCTCAGCCTGAGAAGCCACAGCCTTTGCACAGCGGAATGAACTTTCTGTTCATTTTGGATGATGTGTCTATAATCCAAGAAATAAATCTGGTTCATTTGCAGTCATTAAAAAAAACCGGCTTCCGATCTCATAGGAGTTGGTCACTGTATTAGGCAGCAAGCATTGACAAGCCCATGCCTCTCTAAGTTTACAACAGGCTTTCCCTTTGGATGAGCACTGCTGAACAAGAGGTACCACTTCTGACTCATAGTTCCCACAGCAGAACCACACTTCAGGTGAAAGTTGAAAATCCAAACCCCCACAATGTTCCTTTTTTAGGGCTTGAAATTAAACTTCATACCTAAAAAATACATGCACGTATGCCCACAACTCAGATCCCACTTGGCTTTTGAGAAATGCTTGCTACTCCAGTCTTTGCTCAGTATTTCTACACACCCTTGACCTAACTTGCAATTTATTTCCTTCCCAGCAGCAAGAACTCAGACTAAGGAGAGGCCGAGAATGACAGGAATACTATGAGTTTCTAATGGTCTAATACAAGCAGAAAATTATAGTGGGAAATGTGGCAGACTGGTAGCATTTGAAGTTCTCCAGTTGATAAAAGAATAAGTTTCTTCCTTTTCTTCTGTCTTCAATACTGAGGTTTTATTCACCATTTTCCAAGATAGACTTTTTAAAAAAATATTATCTGCAGTTTTCCCTTCCTATCCTCCTTTTATCATATCCTAAATGCACTACATGAACAAGATCTAGCCCTGAACTCTGAGCTGTTTCCTCACTCCTCCTGCAGTTAGTTTTTTTTTTTCAAACCCACATTAAAAAGATTCATCTTATTTGTGCTTTCGCTTCAGACAAACTTTTTTATTTGAAGCGAAAGCATAAACAAACTTTGAGTTTGTCTTAACAAGTTTACCTCCAGCAGCATTGCTGCTTAGTCTTCTGGACAGCTGCATAACAGAAATTATTTTCGTTTCTAAGGAAAGTATTTACATGCTTACCAGACCTTGCACCACTTCTTGTTTTGTTTTTACTATATCAGACAAAAATCTACAAAGAATACATGCAATATCGTAAATTTGCACATCTGTCTGTATTCTCACAAAAGCCTACATATATTATTTGCTATTATACACTTATTCAGAGCCAGAACCTTTTTAATGATTTTGAGGAGAAACCCCTCTTTTAAATCCCTCTTGTTGTAAGTGACCTGCACGCCAGTGCCATCTAAATGATCAGTTTGCTCTAGAACCTCGCTCTCTGTCATGTCGGTGTCTATCTAGTACTGTATCTTCATGTCCAGGAAAGAGAAGATCAAGTGGAGTCTGTCTGCACCTTTGATTTCCCTACTATTCTTGCTTTTAAGAATTGCTTTTCTTATTTAAAGATGCAGGAGATTTGCTGTTTGGTTGAACACCTGCTCAAATCCCAACCATTTACCATACAACTTTACTGCTTTCTAGTCTGATTCTCGCTAGTTCAGAAGTTCGTGTCTCCAAATGATATGCTTTTGTACTTTTCTTTCTGTACTGCCTCAAAGAGTTTTACTTGCTAGGTCATTAAGCCCAAGGCATTTCTGACTGATACTCTTCTTGACCCGTGACATCTTTTTCTAAACCTTATACTACTGTTGAACTCAGTTCTAGAGCCATGAATAATGATGGAGCACTTACCACTCCCTAAGAGATTACGTTATTTGGGACTGAAGTCATGCACAGAGACCAGCACACAAGAGTCACACATGCTCTTTTACCTACTGAAACCAGTTGTTCTCAGAAAACATCCAGGGTACAAAGAATGTAACGAAGCAATTCTCATCCATTCCAACAGCCAATACATGGGTAACTGACGTACTTAAAGTATTATTAGTAGTATTATTATTACTATTAATATAACATTGCAGTGAAGGTTCTTTGTAGAATTGCTTCTTTCATGCATTAATATGTTCCATTCATATTAAAAAAAAAAAAAAAACACAACTGAACTTTTTAACTGCTTTTATGGGATTTTCTTGAGGTCCGCTCTGCTGGTTTGCATTCTAGAAGATGCCTCTTTCAGTCAAAGAAAGGTGAAAAGTTGCATAGATCAGACTTGTAATATACCTCCCAAATTGACAAACATGACTCAATGACTGGAGGAGCAAACATAGTAGCAGAGTATTTAAGTAAGGGAACAAAGAAATCGAAACAACTATAAGCTCATTATTTTGATATAAATAATAATAGAATTTCAGAAAAACTGTGTTAGGAAAGAATAAAGATAAGAAAAACTACAAATAGGTGGCAATCCATCACCTGTGTAAGAAAATCAGAAACAGCACTCAGTGGCAAACTTCGTATTAGGCAGTCTTTCTCACAGAAAGAGGAGAGGGCTGTTGTAGAAGGCACTTAACTGGGATAGTAGATACAGTTCTTGTCATCTGGGTCTGAAAATGAGATCAGACTATGGCAGGAGCATAAAATCCCTACACAACTGAGGAATATGAAGAGCCTGAAGAAAGACTGATTTGCTTAGCTTGGCTAGGAAGAAAAAAGACAGAGCTGTAAGTGTTCCAAAACAAATTACAGGGTAAGTATTAGGAAGAAGAGCCAATTAATTTCAAGGAATGAAGTAAAAAAGGTGATATATCTGGCCAAGAAGTTTAGCCTGAAAATCAGAAAGAGATTTCTAGCCATGTGCAAAGTAAAGCTCCAGTAGCAGCAGAATGGACACAAAACCTGACTGGCTCCAGGCTGGAGCTTGAGAAGTACGCAAGGATTTCTGTGGTTGTGAAGCCTCTGCCACAAACCCCTCTTCTACCTTCCGCTTTTCTGGGTTGCCACTCTGGCAGCTCTATCTAAATAAGGACTTACTGTGCTTAAGGCTGTTTTAAACAATTCTCCAAACTTTGCTCAGAAGACAATTAATAGAGTTTCTTACATACACATAGTTAGACAGCACCTCTCTGGAATATCAGCAGTGAGGCCAATTATAGAGTTAGGAGAACATTACATACAAGCAGTAGATTCCATCCAAAACCCAAGAAAACACATTGCCTTTATGTCTACAGAAAAGCACGGAGGCTGAAAGTCTGGAAACCCTCACTCAGTTTTCTAGTGTTAGAAAATCGCTCCAGCAATGATGTAGCTTAACAACCAGCTTCTGAATCATGTTATGGTTATTACCTTATTGTTATTCATACATCATACACAAGAGGGAAATAAACCTATGAGATACATACTCAGAATAACTGGGCTTCACATGTAAAACACAAGCAGTATCAGAAGAATCCAAAGTTCACGTCTCAGACTCAGGCTCAGCTGTGAAGGGCAGGACTATGAATGCAGGTCTCACGGCAGTGCAGGACAGTCAGGAGAACCCTTTCAGCTTCCCTCATTAGAGATGCACTGGCAACTGCAGCACAGACATAAAGTCTATGCAATCTCCTTCAGGCACATGTGAGAAACAAAGGCCAGTGCTCCCACAACAACAAACCCTGAAGAAAGCATGAGTGGGAACTGAGCTCACAACTTCTGGAGAGGTTCGCAGGCCAAGACACAGAGATTGTGAAGCAGCTACTCTCACTTACACCACATTATTTATAAACCCCAGTGCCCTGACCACCCCAGAGAACTCAAAACAGACCCAGACCACCTCCACAATGTAGCAGGGCAGACCTGGCACAAGCACATCAAACATTACACCCAAGACAAACACGAGATCTAGGTCTGAAGGGAGGGGAAGCAGGACCGAGAATCCCAGCTTAGGTAAAGGTGCAGCAAGCACTTCTTTGAACAGTCTGGCAGCAAAGCCCTTCTCCTCTGCTCTCACTCACACTTGCGCAGCACCACCTAACATTCAGACAAGAGGCACACGACAAACCTGACAGCACAATGCTGCACAAAATGTACGATGGAAGGAGGGAAAACAAAGAATCACAACACCAAACTGCTTCTGCCCTCACCAGTGACGCTTTTTCCCTGCCACAGCATCAGGGCTAGCCATAAACTAGAGAACATGGCTCTGCTTGACTGAAGAAACCGAAGGGGAGACACTGGGGACTGGAAATTAGAGTTTGAAGATTAGATATGCCAATGATTGAGTGATGTTCACACAAGTCAGGTGTTCAAAAGAAAACTGAACATGCAATTTTAAAGCAAAACCTCTATAGTTAGATTAGAATCTCTCTTTCTACAATACTTCTTCTACAAGTCCTTCAGAAGAGGATTTCATTTTTCAATATCTGAGGCTTCAGGAAAGATGAGAAGTAGTCATAGGACAGGCAGGAGTTTTTGTGGCTGAGATCACTCAGTACAAGATCACCAGATAAGGGGTGCAAGAAAAGTAAAAAACTTGCGATGTCAGGAGGAAGGACAATACCTCTACACAACTGATTTTTTAAATTATTTTTTTTAATCAATTGTGGGCCATGTGATTGAATCAGGACCTGATAGTTTACTCAGATCCAGATGAACTGCCACATCTGAATTTGTTTACTTATTCTCAGAGTTTTCAGGCATCTCCCTCTGCTTAGCTTTGCTGAGGTAGTGATCAACCAGGAGCTATTCAGCAAGTTCATGAAGTAAAGGTTAAAGGCACAGCACTAAGGACAAAGCATTCAGCCAATAGAGAGGAGGTTAAGGTAAAGCCAGTCCTGCAACTGGGAGAGCAATTTCAGATTATAATTGTTTCCTCCTTTGAGAACTGCAGGGGATTGCCTAAATTACATCAAGGCTTTGCAGTCATTTAGACAAAAAGGAGTCACTTCAGAGCATCCAGATATCCTGAACCAATCCATAGTTTCTTCCTGTGCACTAAAATTCATCCAAAGGTATGCTACGAACTAAACAGGAAAGTTTAAATCATGTTTATGATTATGAGGAATGCACTAGTGTCCATGCTCCTCAGAAAAGGCAACTTACACTTTCTTATTTGCACTTCTCTAGATTTCTATTCTGTATAAATGAATCATACTTCGCCCAGAAAACTGTATCTTACTCAAAATTTTTAAAGGAAGAGAACTAATGTATATGAAAATATTAACTAATAAGTGTGGAAGATATGGACAGCATTTGAACATTCTGTAAACATCACTTTAATTAAGCTAGATGACGTTGGTTTCTTGTACAATACTATCTCAGAGTAGTAGATCTGGAGAGAGGCAACAAATCCTCTCAGAATAAGGTGCAGTCTACCCTGCCCATGACCTTATGAATGCACAGATTCAAGTTCCCTATAATACTGAAAGAGGAGAAGATACTTGGATTTCATTGAACAGCCTTTTAAAAATAAAAGGGTGGCTTTCAGCATAGAAATGTAACCATAGAAATCTAACCTTTTAAAGGAACAGCTATGTAAGGCTATCTCCAGAAAAAGAAACAGCAGCGCAATCCACTGTATTCACAGTCAAAAAGGACTGAAATCCTCATTTGTTCCCATGTGTACAAATGGAAAGTTTATAAAATAATATTTAGGTAGCATTTATGCTAAAATCCAGAGGTATTCTAAATGGACCGTGTCTGGGGACAAATTCATAAAGATAAGAGCTAAAAAAAAAAATCGAATTCCTACAATTGTGGGATGTGGGAGAATGTTTCCTTAGGCATTATCTTTATTATCTATATTCAATACAAGCCAAGGAGTGGTTTGCAAAGTTTGTTGTTTACACAGTGCTCAGAATCATTCTGATCTCAACACAGAACAACAAAAAATGTTGAACACATACTTTCTCTGTGAAGTCACAATAATTACACTGGTTACTGCATTTTCTTTACTCCTATAAACAGTACTACTGTCAATTTGTAACAGCTGAAGTACACCATTTCCAAAGGAAAAGAACTTCCATATCTGTATAAGCCTGTGTATGGGAGATTGTGAAGGGAACAAACTAAACCCAGTGAATATCCCTATCTTCAACAGCTTCAGTTACTGTGCAGAAAATGGTCACGTACCTCTGAATAGAGTATCCCCATGACTATTCTTCGCTGCTTGAGTTTGTTCTTCTTCACCAGTCCAACACGTTAACCTCACTTGAAATGCTCTTGAGTCTGTTTGAATTGGTTAATAGTTAACTTAGAAGTATCACTCTTTCTTAATCTACATTTCCTTTAAGTGCTTTCTACTTGGTAGTATGAAATAATTGTCTTCAGAAACCCAACCCAGGAAGGTAAACATGAGAACAGCAGCTTACGGGAGACTGACAGAACAAGTTACAACACAGAAGCATTTTCCTTTGTCATTTTTGCAATAACAGCCTCCAGTTGCCTAAAAAGGAAAGCTGCAGAACAGGCTGAGGAGGGGAGGAGGGAGAAAGAGAGGAAGAAAGTTTCACAAGTGAAGAAAGGAAGGGGGGAAAAAGAAAAAAAAGTATGAAGCCTAAAACTTAAAACAAGTAACTGTGAGTGGTAGCTAGTTTGCCACTCAGGCTAATTCTGACTAAAACATATTCCAAACCTTCTGCAAGAACACCTCAAGACGCCTACCAGGAAAACAGAAGTAACTAGATCCCACACTTTTAATGAGAGTTCCCAGTATAATTAGCTTCAGTCTCTTATTAAATAGGCCAGCCACTTCCATCACCGTTTGCTCAATCTTCTCTTCCTAGCCCAGCCCAAACAATGAATATGATACATGTTTAACCTGCTAATCTTATATGTTGATTGCATTAGAGCTTCCTTGGGAAGAAAATTGTTGTTGATGTCTCCATGTCCTTTGTGTGTTCAAGGCTCTGAAGATAAGATGTGATAGTATCTCTGTACTACACTCAGGCAGTCTTTCCAAGTAGGGCATGCGTATTTCAAGTATCTGGAGACATCCCAAAATATCTTTTCCTTTTATAGTTTAAACTCACATTTCCTGTATTTCAAGCATATTTTAAAACAAGTTTTAAAACATATGCATGTAACTGTCCATCTTAAATCCAAGCCCTCTACCTCACATTGGAGAACTTTTATTTCCATATAATTGTCATATTTATCCTCCAGTGAGGTGGAGGACCATATAAAATTGCTTATACTGTCTCTATCCTTCTCTGCTAGTATAGCACCACTGACTGTACTGTTAGTTTACTGGCACCAGTTCTAAATCTTTCAATGGCTGTTTACCTGAAGAAAACTAGGTTGGCTTGTAACAGAAATGTACACTACAGCTACCTATGACAAATCTCACTAGGATCCTCCCAATAGGTTGATCTTTCAGCATGCAGTGAATATGCTGTTGGCCTAAAGACATGGAGGAGTGAGTAACACCTTAAAGGTAAAAAGGTATTCCTTGCTAGTATTTCTTCACATCCAGATACTAAGAAATGGACACTCTCCTACATCAACTGGCCAGGTTGTTGGAATTTATAAATTATAACTTGTTGAAAGAAACCTCAAATCACTCAGCTGTTACATATAACAATTTAGTAGTTTACTTAATCCTCTCCTAACACCAATATATAAATGCATGGTAACAGGGAAAAGTATTTAAAAACAAAACAAAACAAAACAAACCCTCCTCCACAAAGCATAGCGATAGCTTCAGGCAACACCTTTCTCAAGACAGTGCAAATTACTGTTTAATCCAGCATCACATCTCAGGCCCCACTGAAAATCACTTAAGTGACTACTTTGGCCAGAGCTTCAGCCTGAGAACAGATAAGCAGCCCAACCATGATGAAGTATGAGACTGATGCAAATTTATGTAGTCACAGGTTCATTTCTGCTCCACATATTGCTTTAGTGTTCTTTACTACGCTTATAAATGAGGATTTGAATCCTGAAAATTTTAGTCTTTTTGTGTTGAATAAGTCTTTTTTCTCCAAAAGATGTCAAGACTCAATGCATAGGCAAATTATCACCTACTCAGCGTATGTAGGAAATGTGACTCTTACTTCCTGGAAGAACTTAGTAACACTTCAAAAGTTTCATGTGAGCCAGAAGTGAACTAAGATTTTGTCAGAAGGGCCTTCACTAGAGAAAGAATGAGGCCTACTGATTTTTTATACTAAATATCAATTAAACCTCTGAACAGCACATTCAGTAAAAGACATGGAAGATCATTTGTCTGTTTAATTTCCAAGCACTATAGACTATATTGCTCCAAATGGCATGAGTTACACTACTCTCAGGAAAGAAATCTGTGGCCTGGTGGAGTTATGTGGGCAGAACAGTCCTCAGAAATGTGTATTCCCAAGAAATGCACTCCTGGAATGGCTGGTGACTGAACAAGAATAACACTCACTCCTTACACTTCCCCTCAGAAGACTTAGATACTTGGATAACATCCTTGAAACACTGTAAGGGTCCCTTGCACCTCTGCTTCAGGACAGGATTAACTCAACAGGCCCACTGAGCACAAAGAAGCCCTTCCATGGCATGGACCGGAGCCTGTATTTCATAACTCTTCAAGCCGAACTCAGTGAACCACTGGTGTCACATGAAAAACGCAGGACTTCCCAGCCCTTCCCTTGCCTCCTGATGCTCATATGGTCACTACTGGGTTAATTCTGTTACAGCCCATCCTATGGCTAAGCTCCAGCAGCTCATGGTTAATACAGGTTGATCCAGGTCTGCCCAAGATCCTGTTCCCCATAATCAGTTCACAGACTGCACTGCACAATGTGGAACGCAACAGTCCTGTAAAAGTCAGTGAGGCTGTACATCTGCACAAACCTGCTGATACAGGTTTCATGATCAGTGTTATCCTCTATGGTAACTCTTAATTTAAAACTGACCAAGTAGCATAGTGACTGGATGATGCCTCAGCAAACTGAAACATTTGATAAACAGCTAGATTCTTTCCCATACATGCCCTCTCAAATAAGAGGAAATCATCTGGCAAATGCAGGGAGAAAACTGATGAGAACCACAAAAGTACTTGGGTAGAGGAATAGGGTTCCAAGACAAAAGGAAGAGCATATACAGACTGTTTCCTTAAATTAACACTATTTCTGTATTTTACAGGGTTTGCAAAGGAGAAAGGAACACACTTATTCCCCTTTGTCTGCCCCCTCCAAGCTTGCAGATCATCAGGGATGTGTTTAGAGGCACAGGATACCTCAGGGTTACCTAAGAGAGAGTTGGCAGACTCTGGGAGTTAAGACATACTTGGGCATCTCATGCTATGTACAGCTGTAGGTCAGACCACCTGGGCATCAAAGCTTTGCTCCAGCATTTTCAAAACAGATTACTTACTATCTCAGCTGGCATGCTTCTCTAAATAAGGACAGCATGTCTTGGGAAGTTTCTGTATACCTTTTAGGTTTCATGTTTCCTATGCTCTTTTTATATGCATTACTTTCATTGTCTCGTTCCCTATTCAGATGGGTTTACCTATCTTTTGCTCTTCACTCAATTCCTACTAACAATATGAGAAACAATATCATACATCCCATATGCTGGCATGAGGTGAAACTAGGGAAAATGTTGCAGATCATTCCAGGCTGACAATTCTATAAAACAAAAAAAAATGTAATATGGCATTAGCTGGGAATACAGCAGAGAAAAGTCTTCTGTGTCTCTCACCGAGCAGGGGTATCAGGTACCCCTGGAAGTGTTCAAGACCAGGTTGGGTGGGGCTTTGAGCAACCTGGTCTAGTGGAAGGTGTCCTTGCCCATAGCAGGGGGGTTGGAACTAGGTGATCTTTAAGGTCCCTTCCAACCAAACCGTTCTATGATCAGACTTGCTGAGCTGTAGGCTGACTACAATTAATTCAGCAGTTAGGCAGAGGTCTCCAAACATACTGTGTTTTCACAGAGTTCATGGAAATGGCTTGGAAGAAGCAAGAAATCTTGTTAGCATCTTCTCTGAGTTAAAGTTTACACATTGTTTTCAAATTTAACTCAATACCTGAGAATCCCTACAGACACAGGCTAATTCAGAGCAAACTGGTCTTTGCACATTGTGATGTTCACTGAACAACAGATTTAGGAATGTGTGTGTGATGCTAAATACGCACCTTTCAAATCACTTGTATTTTTATTCTAGGATTACCTAACAAAGAAGAATTGTCCCCAAGCAAGCTGCAAACAGCAGTTCAGAAAACAAGTAACAAGTGTGGAATCAGTGACTATGCCAGCTTCTGTACAAATCACAACGTTCATAGGTAGAAAATGTTGAGAAAAGCTGGATTCTTCCTCCTCTTCATCCCAAAATAATGTAGTCACAGCACTCTCCAAGACAGGCAGCAAGATCAAGATGTGTCACAGCCTCAGGGGACAAGAATCCCCCAGCTCCCTGCTAAATATCCTAACCACAGTTTAGACACCTCTTTACCTCTTATGCTTCATGGTGCAATTTGGTCTTTCAGAATGTCACGCAGCTGTGCTGTTTATCATAAAATAACTTCACTCCTTAAATAATGCCAAATCAGCACTTAAACATGCTCTCCTATACATGCAGACATCACATATCACTCTACTGTTGCTCTTTTTATTGGCAAAGGTTTCTGCCAGTGAATCAGTCTGCTAGTAGAGACAGACTAGGAACTGCAATAGAAGATTGAACGAAGGCAGGCAAAGCAGAGGTAAGTTGCTTGTACATACGTGTTCACGGTCTCTTTCTCTGTTGCCTGTCTCCATAAAGATGTGCAGTCTTGGTTTTGTGTGACTGCTTGTCAGAGTAGACAGCCTGTACCCTTTCTGATCTGTAAGCCTGATGCTATGTATCAAAGTGCATGTTTGCTAAAGTTGAGGAGAGAAAGAAGTCTTTGACCTGCGCAAATGAGAAAAAGGAGTAACTTGTGGTTTCATTTTGTTCTACTTATCGGGTTTTTCTTCTAAGAACATCACTGTGGATACAGGAAAATCTTGGTATTGAAAGCACGTGTATAAATTTGATATTACGCTGTCATAGTTCCAAATGCATTTAAGGTTTTCCTAGTCAGTTAACCAGGAGATTCTGACATCTGCTAGCCACATTAATTGCCCTGGTGCCTTTCTATCCCATTTATAATGTATGTGAAAAAATCATTATGACTCTTTCAAGACTACACTAGTGAATTGCTATAAGGTTTAAAGCTTGTTTTCATTAAATATCAAGTCTCAAGAAATGGCCTTTTGAATGTATCTTTTAGGTGTTATCCTCTGCCTTTTTTTTAACTCAATATTTCACTTAATTTCAGTTTGGCATGGTAAATGCCGCTCTTTGGCATTGTTTCATTACATAAAAAGACTAGATTGCTGTTCAACGCTCCTACAGTCAAGACTTTGCCACTGAAATTAATGAGGCAGTGTGTGCCAAGCCTTGAAGTTAATTGGCACACTCTATCTGATTTACAAAGT